CAGTACGTCCGGGGCTGGAAGTGGCGGCCCTCCCGGGGCTCCTGCCCGGGCGCGCAGGCGTCACCTCCCGGGGGGCGCTCTGACGGTCACGACGCATCAGTGTTGAATCGGATGCAGGCTGAACGGGCTCGCAGATGAAGCAGTGAGAAAGAAAAGCATGCCCCAGCGCGGCCCCAAGAATGGCCCGAGAGGCAATCGAGAGGTCTCACTACCATGGTCTGCTCTTCGTCCTCCTCGCCCTCCTTTCCCCCCTCGCTCGCCACGAGCATACCAACACGCAACACCAATGATACAAGCGTGGAGTGGGCTGAGCGGAGAAGTCAGAGAAACATGCCCCGTCTGCTGATGCTGGGGGAACGCATGTGCAAGATGTAGCTATGCTTCTGTAACATCCGGTTATATGCTCCCTGGAGGATGCCATGCCCACTGCCGCGCTCGTCTGTGTTGCGCTGGCCCGAGCGCCTTACGATTCTGCCCCACTCGATCGGCCGAGACTGTGGCGCGGATGCGATGGCATTCGGATAGCGTGTGCTGGGGAACTTCGTGACGAGGGGATGTGCACGTGTGCCAGCAAAGGAACAGCTCATACAGTAAGGATGATACCAACGACCAAGATGAGGCATACAAAGAAGCTGACCAATAATTATCCCTGTCGGGCTACACGTATCTGCCACGCCATTCATCACATAAGTCGCATTCGCTTTACAATTCAGAGGTCATGCATTCAAAGACACAGCGCATCCATAGCAGTAGAGGCTCAAGCAATTAAAGGAATAGGAGCAACCCAAAGCAGAAGAAGTCAACTGGCCATGAACCCCGCCCACTCGCCTGCTCTGGATGGCTTGAGGCCGAACTCCTGATGGAAATACCGGAATCATGCTGCCACTGGCACCCAGAGAGCGAGTGCACTTTGCCAGCCCAACGGGCTGAAGGCGTACAGCCAAGACGTGGCCTCAAGAACGCGAATCGATACCATGAACCCCTTCGCCGAAGACCGCCAAACTAAACCCATCCTGAAGAACACGAGAGTACCCCTCCAAAGCCAGCTCGCCAGCTGTGCCAAGTCCGGGGGCAGGCGTCTGATGCATCTTCGAACTGATCGCCACGGGCCCCGACCAAGACGAGCACGCCAGAACGGCGTCGTCATGGGAGTGCTACAGCCGCGGAGTACCAATCGGCGGAGGCAGAGGGGTGGATTGCCCAGGGGCATGTATGGCACGTATTTATCCCCCCAGGCGCCTCACCGAGCACACGGGCGATCGGAGCGCCAGGTGGCCAGAGAAGCTCCCCCAAGGGGACCAAGACAGCCTGGAGACAGCCCAATAACGATTCAAGACGGAGCGCTAAACGGTCCAAGAGCAGGCCGAAACGCGGCCCCAAGATTCCCGAAGGATTTCCCGGATGCCGGCTTGGGGTAAACAAAATACATATACCGATACTCACGAGAACTCTCTCAAGGTGCGTTCTGACGTAGCGACGGCCAGGAATCCAACATGCAGAAACAAGGGAGGGGTAGCGGTACTGGTACCTCTCCCTCCTCTGAAGATAGATCCTCGTGGCGCGGCTGTTCGGCGTCCTGCTCGAGACGTCTCCAACCTGCGCGTGGAGGGATAGCGGACCGCCTCGCTGAGACTGGGGCCCCGCTGGTGGTGCTGCGAAGCAAAGAAGAACTCCGCTGCACCGTCGGAGGGCATCCCAAACCCTGCTCAGCCAATATGCAAGACCACCACCAAGGCCGCGAGCGGTTCCCACACCCGCCTCAACCCAAACCTGGCATGGTCGGATCCTGCGAGATCCGGCGCTGCGACGAACCCATTTACCTGGCTGCCGGGCTGACCTCGTCCTGGCTGGGCCCTTCTGGTGGCAACTGTAGCCGCGACTCGTCTTGGGCACAGGATGCCCCTGACCTCCCTCGCATCTTACGAGACGGTGCGCCCCAAATCGGGTGGCAGAGGAGGATCAGCCACGGTGAGCGGCTGGCGAAAGTCCAGCTCCCAGCGTCGCTCGCACGTTGTGCACTGAATCAAAGCACGTCACACGACTCGTCACCGTGCTCACATGCGCTGGAGACCAGTAGAGTACCCTCAGTCTGTCTTCCAGAGTGTCTGAAATCCCAAACGCAACAGACCCCCCCTCGAAGCACCAAGCAGACAGCCCCCCCCTACCCACCTTCTCCACCTCAGACTTGTTGCCATTTGGACTCGGACCTTTTGAGAAGGCCTGAAAACCCCGCCAAACGGCACAAGAGTCCAAGAGATCCCTCAGAAAGCCAGGATGCCCCGTGGAGGCCAAGATGATTTCAGAACGCGTGGTTCTTGAATGATTTCTGCGTGAAAATCCTTTTGCGCTCGAGGGGTTCGCTGGAAGCCCCTGCGTTACCCCAACGCAGCCCCCACGCGGCACCCAAGAGGCCCAGAGCAACGCACGGACGGCCACAATATAACCCCAAAATATCTCGAGACGGCACCAGGCACGTTCAGAGCCCTCGAGAATGAGTTCTTCCTCCCTCCCCGTGAAGTCCGTTACGGGGGGGTGGGAGTGCGGGGGAGGGGCTGCGAGCGCCACCAGAATTGAAGGCTGGTATTACTGAATGGTTTCAGGAGCATGGTATGAATATCAGAAGGATGATATACCAATGCGGAAAAACTATAATAGAAGCGGAAGTGGTCCAAATACAGATAGGACAAATAACAAGGATAAAGGTAGTTCAAGAGGCAGACCTCGTTCGTCTCCTCCTCCTAAGAGGGGTAGCAACATGCTCGTTAGCACCAAGAAACATGCTCAACAACGCCACCCCCGTGCCTGCGAACACCGCGCCCATGCCTGCGGGGGAACCGCTCTCCCCTCTCACGACCGGTCGGCACCATTACAGGGAACTGGCCATCGCTCGGACGTCCATTCCCTGTGTTTTTTTCGGTTTCGTGCGTGGCTTCTTCGCCAAATAATCAAGGATGCTCCTCGATGGTCCTCGCCGAAGAAAAAATGCACACGTCCGAGCGATGCCAAGTACAAGGAAGGGGGGCGACCCCGCGCAACGGACGTTGCGGATGCACCGCGCAAAAAAAACAGCATCCTCGCATCTAGTGCCCCCAAACGGCCCCCGAGACCAGCCTAAGATTGCCTAACACGGCCTTGCAAGACTTTCCCAGACGGCCCAACACGTTTCCGCCGAGTCTCTTTGGGAGAGCTCGGTTGAACCGTCGCGGCCGCGCAACCGAACACGCCACACTGGCGGCTTGCAAGAACTGCGCAAACTACTCCTGAGAACTCCAAGGTCCGCTGCGCGCGAAAATCAGAGAAAGAGAGAGAGAGAGAGGGAAAGAGAGAGAGAGAGAGAGAGAGAGCCTGCGGCGAAGCGGTTAGCGAGGAAAGGCGAACTGCAAGGGCGGAGCTCGGCTCCTCCAAGCCCAGGCCCCAGTCCATCCGCACGTCCCAGATCGCGGCATAGGCCGTGGCGAATATCGAGATCACGATGACGCGCTCCGCCTCGAGCGAGCGCTCGTGCGCGACTGCTGGCAGAGAGCGAGCGAACTGGCGAGGGATCCTGTCCTCGACCCTGCAAGAACCCCGACGCCGGCAAGCCTGACCACGCGTGTCGGCACAGTGGTGCTCCATCGTGGATACGATGGTGCTCACATGGTGCTCATCACTTTGGACGCCCGAAATGGGTACGGAAAGAATGGGTACAATGCCCAACAACAAATGTTGTCCCAAACCAGCAGCGGCCGCTGTTGGGCAGGCGGCCTTCTGTCTCAAATGGACACAGGCCGCAGCGACACCGACAGCGAGTCCAGTTCAGAATGAAAAGGAACTGCTGTTGGGCATTGTACCCATTCTCTCCGTAGCCATTTCGGGCGTCCAAAATCACCGCGGGTGCGCAACACTGCGCCTGAAGGCCGCAAGCGGTGAGACCCGGCCGCGAGATCAACCGAGACCTCCGACCGCACCACGGTCGCGCGCGCCGCCACCACGTGCCGTCTAACGGACACGGCGGCGCGCGGCCTCGCACGGCTGCTCCGCCGCTGGGGGACCGGAGCTTTCTGGGGGAGGGCGGCGTACAGTCGGGGCCCTGAAGAAGGAACTCTTTTCGTTGGGGAGGGGCTCCGTGTTCCTTAATTGTTTTGCAGCTTGCCTTAGGTTTTCCTTAGGTTTTCGATATGAAATCGAAGTTTAACTTATGGAAAATAGGGGCCTCGTTCCTTATTTAGGGTTCTTTAGGTCAACGCCCCGACGGTACTGCCCTCGCTGAGTGGAGAGGGGCAGCTCAAAGAGGGGGACAACCCACCGCGGAGCGAGACCGGAGGGCGCGGTGGATGGTGCCCGTGAGCGAGCAACGCCATCTCTGGCCATCGCTCGAGCGTCCATTCCCTGCGCTTTTTTTTCGGTTTCGTGCGTGTTTTTTTCCGCCAAGTGATCAAGGATGCTCCTCGATGGTCCTCGCCGAAGGAGAAATGCACACGTCCGAGCGATGCCAGGATCTGTGAGTGCACGCTCTCCGCGGCTCCTCGTGCACGAACGACCGCATCTGCATGCAAGCCAGCGGGAGCTGACAGCGCACACGTGTGCACATGTCGCTGGCCTCCGAATCGACTTGCTGCGGTGCTCAGCATCCGACGAGGCGAACCGCAAACTCGTGCCGCAAGCGAGCTCGCCGCTGCGCGCACTCACGCCGGGGAATTACCCGCGTCAACCGATCTGGAGGAGAAACTGTATCGCCTGATTTCGCCCGTCGCACGAGGAGCCAACGAAGCGCCCACACGGAAGAAAACGGAGACCATAACCAAGACTGAACGTGGAAACGTCGTGTCGACCTTAGTCCCTGTCGATCTTGGTCAACGTAAATTCGTGGATCATTCTCGCGAATCGGCGACCTGACATGGACCATGATCAACATCGGTATCGACAAGATCGCACAACATCTTGCTCATGGTCCCCGTGCTTCTTCCCGCGACCAAGGGCGCACACCGTGCGAAACCCTGACACATCCACCAACACGAAACGCCATCGAAGCGCTCATGGGCGCCCGCTGGGCGAAACCCTGCCATCACCTGGCACTCGAGGGCGTCCACTAGGCGAGGGCGCCCACTAGGCGAAACCCTGCCACAACCACCCAGACGAGGCCCCCACGAGGCCCCCACGAAGCGCCCACGTGGAAGAAGTCTAGACACATCCACCTAATTAGCTAAAAAGTATTAGTGCAAGCACAGCTTAGGCAGGAACAGGACATCGGGTCTCTGAGAAAAGGTCCTGATTAAAACAAGTCTTGATCAGAGAAGGAGGCGAAGAAAGAGGGGGAAGGTGGGATGGTACAGAGAACTATCTAGATACATGCGCGACAGATCTGTCATCCTACCCATCCCGCCCGTATCCTCCCATTGTGTTGAATCCGATTCTTTTCGGAACACTGAGAAGTGCAGCAAACAACGGGAATAGCGTGCGAATCGAATCGGTAGCATCGAGTTGAAACACCACCACACATACACACGTAGACATCTACCTATATCCATGCATGCATACATACATAACTACATGTATGATTGCACACATGGATACGTAATGTATGCATACATGCGTGCATGCATGCATCCGTGCATCCATGCATACATGAATGCATGCATGCGTAAAAATGCACGCTTGAAAACATGGAACATACATCAACACAACGTACGCACTTGCATACATACATGCACACAAGCATATATACATGTATGTCTGCATGTATATATACATGCCTGCATACATACATGAACACACACACACACGCATAGACACATACACATAAACATACATGCATACAACAACACCTGCAGACACGCATACACACATACATGCATGTATGCATGCACGCATGTACACGTGTGTACATATATCAATATATGCAATGACATAAACGTATGCGTATACCTCGTCCTACACGTGCACAAACACGCATACACGTATGCATGCATGCATACACACATTCACACAGACACGTAACCGACAGGGTTACACACCAATATACACACGTACATGCAAACACATATCCATAGATACGTACAAACGCACACGTGCACACATGCATGTATACATATATATATATATATATACACCCAGACATAACTACGCACAATCATGCATACATGTAAAGAGGCCAGGGGCCGCACCGCTGGATGTCCCTCAGGGGAAAGAACCCCATCCACCCCCCCCCTTGCCCCGATCCGTCGTCGGGGAACCTCCCACCCCCGCTTTCCAAGTTCGTCGTCGGGGAACCCACCCCCTTCCCCCCCTTCCCGGTCCGTCGTCGGGGAAGCCCCGCCCCCCTCCCCTCCTCTGGCCGTCAAATTCGAACCTCCCCCCCCTCCCCCTTTTCGCCACGGCGCCCCCTGGCTCTGGAACCCGACACTTACCATCCCTGACAGTAATCCTCACCCTTACCCAAGCCCCTAACCCTAACCCCAAACCCTAGGCCCGAAGAGCATTCACTACCCCCTACGCACTACTCACTACCCACTACTCACTACTCACTACTCACTTCCCACTACTCACTACTCACTACTCACTACTCACTAACCACTACTCACTACCCACTACCCACTACTCACTACTCACTAATCACTACTCCCTTCCCACTACTCCCTACCCACTACTCACTACTCACTACCAACTACTCAATACTCACTACTCACAAATCACTACGCACGACCCACTACCCACGACCCACTTCTAACTACTCATTACGCAAAATGCAGCACTCACTACTCACTGCCGATAACTCAAAACTCACTAGCCACTATTACTCGCTACTCCCTACTCATATCACTACCTACGCACTATTGACTACCCAGAGTTCACAACACACTACTCACTACTCACTACTCACTTACTCACTACTCCAGACCCCCTATTCGCTAGTCACTAGGTCACTAGTCACTACTCACTACTCGCTACTCACTACTCACTACCCACTACTCACGACCCACCACATGCTATTCACTACTCTGTACCCGCTACTCACTACTCACTACTCAGTACCCACTTCTCGCTACTCGCTACTCACTACTCAGTACTCCCTACGCGCTACTCACTACTCACTACTCAGTACTCACTACTCGCTGCTCCCTAATCGTTCCTCACTACTCCCTACTCAGTACTGACTGCTCCCTCCTCACTACTCACTACTCACCACGCCTTACTCGCTACTCACTACACACTGCTCGCTACTCCCTACTCGCTAGTCGCTAGTCACTACTCACTACCCATTACCCACTACGCACTACTCACTACTCACTACGCACTACTCCCTACGCACCACTCACTACTCACTACACCTACTCCCTACTCTCTACTCGCTACTCTTTACTCTTTACTCTTTACTCACTACTTACTAGGCACTACCCACTATTAACTCAAAAACGACTCACTACCAAGTACTCACAACTCACTACTCACTACTCCCTACGGCCTACTCTGCACTCACTACTCATTACTCACTACTCACTACTCACTACTCACTACGCGCTTCTCACTACTCACTAATCAATACTCGCCACTCACTATTCACTACTCACAACTCCCCACTCCCTACTCCCAACGCCCCACTCGCTACTCACGACCCACTACTCACTATTCACTACGCACTATCCGCTACCCACTACTCACTAGCTACTACTCACTACTCCCTACCCGCCTTCTCTGCCGCAGAAAAAAGAAGCGGGAGAGGCCCCCTCCCCGGCCCCCTTTTCGGCGCAAAGGGGATGAGGGGGGGGGGGGTCCGAACGCCCCCCTTCCCTTCCCGCGCCACGGGGGGGGGGGGGGCGGAACCCCCTCCCCCCCTTCAAGTAGGGGGGGAGGGGGTCGGATCCCCTCCTTCTTAAAGGGGGGGAGGAGGGGGGTCGACAATCTCCCCCCCCCTTTACAGGTGGGGGGGGGTTCTGCGAGCACCCGCCCCTTTTCAATTACAGGGTGATCCAGTGGCGCGCTCTCTACAGTAAGCATACACACATACGTACATGCATACTTCAACACATTTCATTTACGCATGCATACATACATGCATGCATACATAGATAGAGACATACATGTATGTATACACTGATACGGCCGTGTATATATACACAGACACATACCTACATACAGACATACATGCATGCATAGGTACATACACACATACAGACATACAGACAGACAGGCATGTGTACATACATGCATACATGCATGCCTGCATGCATACAAACATAATTACTTGCATGCATGCGTGCATGCATACGTTCATACATGCATTAATGCATGCATACGTGCATGCATGCAAACATCTGTACATATATACATACACACCTACATACACATACATGCATCCACCTATACATATTTATACATATATATATGCATGCATGCACGTATATATACACATACATACATACATACAAACAACCACACATACACTCATACATACGTACGTACGTGCGCACATACGTACGTACACACATACATGTATACATACGTTTGTTATCTATTCATGCAGCGACGCGGACACGAACACACACACACACACACACACACACACACGCACAGCATAACAAAGTCCTGGAGGGCAATAGGCGAAACAACATGATACGACCTACTGGCGGGATAAAAGCCCATCGTAGACGCCGCCGAGACGGAACGGAAAAGACGACGACGACGGCGGCGGCGCCTACGACGACGAGAGAGGTCGATGGCGATGACAACGGCAGATGAGCAGTGGGAGGGTGGGAGAGCGGCAGGAGGGAATAACAAGAGAAAGAAGTGACGCCTCCAGAGGACTCCGGGGGTCTCCAGAATTCTCCAGAGGTCCCTGAAGGTCCCTGGAGGAGGAACGAGAAGGAGCGATGGGCAGTGAGGAGCTAGCTGGAGGATGAGGAGCGAGGAGGATTGATGAGGAGGAGCGAGCAGCACCAGCAACAGCAAGAGGAGGAGGAGGAGGATGAGGAGCGAGGAGGAGTGAGAAGGAGGAGCGAGGAACAAGAGAGGGAGCGAGGAGGTGGAAGAGGAGAAGAAACGAGATGCCAACGAGGGGCTAGGGGCAGGAGGAGGAGCAAGAGGACGACGAGTGCCGACAGCGCGCGCGGGCGGCCCCCTGGCGGTACGCCTTGCTGCCCCAGAAAGCGGTGGCGACCACCACCAGCAGCGAGGCGAGGTACCTGCTCCGCTGGGCGGGGGGGGGGGGCGAGGAGCGAGGAGGGAAATAGGGGGGGAGAAGGGTAGGGAAATGGGGATGAGGATCGAGTGTCCTCGTGTGAAGGGGAGGAGGGGGGAGGGCGAGCAGGAAAAGGGGGAGGAGACTGTGGCATACTGGCTCCATGGGGATCGATCGGCGTAGAGTTATCCAACAAACAATTCGTCTCTCTCTCTCTCTCTCCCTCCCTCTCTCTTTCTCGCGTGTGTGTGTGTGCGTGTTGTCGCGTGCTTTCACTCTTATCTCGTGGCTTTCGGCGACAAGATATGGAAGCGAGTACACGTTTCCGCTCACCACGGACTCTCTGGCATCGACGAGGCGAGAGGATGATCATCCATGGCATACTCAGCTCCAGCTGCGACATAGTGATTGGAAGGGTGTGCGGATAATGCGTCGGCAAACATGATAACTTTGAACTCACCTGAGCAGCCGTGCACTTTGACGTAGTGTCAGCCTCACCCTCGGTGGTGATGCAGAACGGCACGTGACCTTCGCCGCCCAACGCCAAGACGTTGGCAATGGAGGCACGGGCCCTAGGAGGACGACGAGAGGCGGTCGGGGCCACAGGACGAGCAAACAAACTAGGGGGAATGCCGATCGGACATGAACTTTTTGCTCCACGGGGAAATTCCACCCCCCGCCGAGGGCTAACCGACGCGCAACCATATGTGTTCGAACCTGGGTTGTTATCTGGTCCCGGGATTCGGATGGGGGCCTCCAAGGGCCCTACCTCTGGAAGAATGTGCCGCTGCGTTTGTTTATAATGCTGAGGGTTCGCGTCGGAGGAGGGAAATAAAGCTCGGACGG